AGTAATTACGTTAATTAAGTGAATTTGAAAACATCGAGGAAAAAATGAAAGTAAGGAAAAGGTCATTTAATTTTTCACTTTTATGACCTTTCTATAAGTGACCTTCAAGCAAAATTTCGACTATAATTTGCTATAATTTCAATTACATTGTTCTTACATCAATGTTGCGTCAAATTGAAATTCTATTCATATAATATTTCTTGGATACACTTCAAAATTAGTAGAATTCAAAGTTTTGTGGAATTTCAAAAAAAAAAAAAAATCGAATAATCTAAACGTATCAAGTGAAGGCGGAAGTATGCGTAAACACACGCATATGCATATTCACGTAAATGTATAAAACACCAATTTGATAATCAGCAATTTTAGAGAAGAACGAATGAAATGAAATATTTGTTTGTAAAGAAAATCAAAAAAATAATAATAATTTGCGAATATGTAATCGTTATAAATAAGTCGGAAAAGATGCTTAAAATTCATCATTTAAAACTTTGTGATAACATTTAATCAATTGAATGCTAATTAAATAATGACAATTAATTTCTGAAGATTTTTCTTGGAAAAATGAAAAGGAGTTTTTCAACTATTAGAATTGAACTTTTGTTCAAAAAGAAAAAAATAGCAATTGTTAAAATTATTTAGAATAGAATATGTTTGTTTCTTTTTCTTCTTTTTTAATTATTAATTTCAATTTTAGTTAAAAATGGATTGAAGAAGGAAAAAAACGATAATAACAATAACTTAATAGGCTCATTTATATATTTTTAACCAAAAAAGGACTTTTCGTCCCACTTTTTTCGTTTTTTTTCTTTAATTCTTCTTAATAATCTCAAAATTTTTTCGTTACAAACATATAATTATCAAATATACTCTCTCTCTTTTTTTTTCATTAAATTTTGAATCATTCATTCCACATATTATGCAATTATTTTAGATGAAATTTCGCAGTTTTCGAATCAAAAATTTTAGTGGGAATCGAATTTTTCCCTCTTTTCAAATTTTTTTTTTCTTTTCAAGAATTTTTTCTTCTTTTTTAAATTTTTTCCTTCTTTTCAAATTTAAAAAAAAAGGATTATTTCAATATTAGTTCATCATTATTAGTATAAATGGATTAATAATCATATTGCCCATTTATTTCCAGGTTTAAAAGTTTGGATTCTTGAAAATTTTCATATTTATTAAATTAAATGATAGATGAATGAGAAATGTTAAATTTTACAAATCTCTTATCTGATGAAATATATTGATAAGGGTGAAATTTTGTAATCTTTGCATTCTAAATGACCTAAAATACCTAATTGTAATGACCTGAAATATCTAGTGATAATAGATATTATAATATACCCTATATAATCATTATACATTTTATATTATAATTTCTTAATTTTCGAGAAAACTAAGCTCTTATCAGTGATGAAATGAAAAATAGGAATGTAGGAGAAAGGTGGAATTTTGTTGCGAAATATTTTAAAAAGTGATAGTGCTGATAATAATTTGAATCAAATATTCTACAGTAGCACTGTAAAAGTATTGGCCATGATTTTAGGCCATTAGTCGAGAAATGATACTTGGCTGCACTGATCAATTAAAGCCAAGACTTCGTGCATTACAAAAAAGGAAAGAAAGGAAAGAATTAAATTAATGGACTAGCAACATCCATAAAGCTTGCTTTATTTGTTCTGTCTAGTTAATAGATAGGAAGATGAGCAAACATATCAGGGAAATGTCAAATTTTTTGTTTGGATAAGAATCCATTTGACCAAAGATATGCAAAAATTGCAATCCTAGAATAATATTAAATTAGGTGTAAGGGTTGATAAACTGATAAACTTGACTGATAAATTTAAAATTACAGTAAGATTGCAACTCTTGCAAATATGATACTTCTTGTATTTTAAATTAAAGTCTGTGATATACTTTTATTGACTGTAATTGCAGTTGTGTAAGGTACACATCACCTTTCTGTTTTGTTTTTTTTTTTAAATGAAAAAATGAATTTCAAATTTAGCAATTA